CGCGCAGATATATATATATATTAAAAAAAATATATATATATATATATATATATATATATATATATATATAACCTCCTGACTAGCAGGAAACAATGTTGTCATGTCATTACATTGTTCAGAGCATGAGAATGTTTTTTGAAAAATTATATTTTATTCATATGTATGAGCATGATCATATGTATCTGAAGAGGACACCGGGACTTTAAAAAGTCCTGTTTTAAAAAAAAATAAAAAGACATGAAAAGGCAAAAACTGTGGGATTTTTGCTTTAATCACAAATCAATTTTATTTTTTTTATACCAAACTTTATATAAAGATGATTCTCAACTATGTTATGAAAGATATTTAAAAAAAAAAAAATTCTTTATGCAAAATGTGTGTAAAATGGCCATAAATGAGTTTTTCCATTATGTACAATGTATCTATAAACTGTATCTACTTTGCATATTAATATATGTCAACATAGAATGAATCAACATAGAATGAACAAATAAGTGCAATAATGGGAGTAATACATTTTCATAATAATATCTCATATTTAATAGGAATATTGATATAATTTTTTTCTCTATTGATTTGTTGTCTCTCAAAATGTGTAATAAACATGCTTTAAGTTCTGATGTCCTCTACAGTGGACATGTATGAAATCGATATCCTGTTTCATAACAGAAGGTCATATTTTGATTTGAAACCCCATAACATTTTCCTGAGATGTTGATTTATGACAAACAATTTGAAAATTAGTCCGATTTAAATGATAATTTAATGATAATTTAATGGAAGGGTGTTACACTTGATCACTATGTCAGACATTTTTAAACACCAAGGAGAGGGAGTGGTCATGGTGAAACCTCCAAACAATATCAATATTAGTATCTCTGAAAAGCCCTGAATGTGCTCTGTACAGGACATCCAGACTTAAAACTGTGACATGTAACATCTCAGAGAAATTGCTAAAATATAATGTCCTCTACAGAGGACAAAACTCCATAGCTGATAGTCAGGAGGATATATATATATATTTTTTATTTTTTTATTTTATTGATTTATTTTTATTCTAAAGGCTGTGGTGTTCCTGCCATCCCCCCTATTATCACTGGCTACTCCAGGATTGTGAATGGTGAAGAGGCAGTGCCCCATTCCTGGCCCTGCAGGTACAGACATCTTCATTAACAAATTACATATAGATGATAGAGATATTTAATAAAACAAACATTAAAAAATCCATAAATAAACAAATTTAACATCTCATTTAAGGACTCCACTGGCTTCCACTTCTGCGGTGGCTCCCTGATCAATGAGTTGTGGGTTGTGACTGCTGCTCACTGCAATGCCAGGTAACACAGTATTAATGAATAAACTCTCATTATTATTATTATTATTATTATTATTATTATTATTATCTACAAACCTTTATTTCAGAATATGCGTGTCTCTTCAGAATTCTGTGCAATTTTCTTCTTTTATCAGGACCTCTCACTGTGTTATCCTGGGTGAGCATGATCTTTCTTCCAATGCTGAGCCCATTCAGACCATGACTGTTGGCAAGGTATATTCTGTATCATACCTAAACCACTAAGACAATGTTTTAACAGAAAGATGATACAATTGAATATGAATACATTTTAATATGAGTATCCTCTTCATAAAGGTTTTCAAGCACCCTAACTACAACGGCTTCACCATCAACAACGACATCCTCCTGATCAAGCTGGCCACCCCCGCTCAGCTCAACACTCATGTGTCTCCCGTGTGTCTTGCTGAAACCTCCGACAACTTCCCTGGAGGCATGAAGTGTGTGACCTCTGGATGGGGCCTGACCAGGTACAATGGTAGAATTCTGAATTTGCATTTACATTTTTATATTATATTTCATATATTTATTTTATATTTTAGTATAAAATAAATTAGATTTGATGATGAAACCTTTTCAAATGCACCTTCCAATCTGTGTTTTCAGCTCCTGATACCCCTGCCCTGCTCCAGAAGGCCGCTCTGACTCTGCTGACAAATGACTGCAAGCGTTATTGGGGAACCAAGATTACCGATCTGAAGATCTGTGCTGGAGCCTCTGGTGCTTCTTCTCGCATGGTGAATTTCTATTGATTTCGCAGTTTACCTCTCTGTTTGTTCTTGAAGTTCTTGAAGACTGTAAAGTTCTAACTTACTTTTGTGTGTTTCAGGGTGACTCTGGTGGTCCTCTGGTCTGTCAGAAGGATGGAGTTTGGACTCTGGTTGGTACCGTGTCCTGGGGAAGCAGCATCTGCTTGTAATGTGGGGTTTGGGTTTTGTTTTTTGTTCATGTTTTCATGTCTTTTATTTTGTAGTTTAGTCATGCTCCCTGTTTGTGTCATGCTTCCCTTGCCCTCATGTATTCATGCCATTGGTTCTCTTGTTCATTGTGTCATGTTCTGATTGGTTGTCTTAGTCATGTGTCTTGTTTCCCATTGGTTTGTTCTTGTCTTGTGACCCTCTTGTTTGCTATAAGTAGCCACCATGTTGCCATTGTCTCTCGTCGTGTATTGATGTTGTAACCTGCTGTCGGTGAGTCAAGTCTGTTCCTGTCAAGTCTGTTCCTGTCAAGTCTGTTCCTGTCAAGTCTCGGATTATTGTTTGGATGTTTGGATCATACTGTAACTAAACTGCACTTGGGTTCTTCACTACGCTCGCCTTCAGTGGACTAAATTGTTACACTGCTCAACCAGTTCACCTGGTGTGTACACCCGTGTCACCAAACTCCGTGCCTGGGTTGACCAGACCGTTGCTGCAAACTAAAGCACAAAGATTATACAGTAGTTCTTGGTCATAATGCTTATCAATAAAGTCTTATTTCGAGAAAACAAAAACTCTCAGCTTGTTTTTTTTGTTTTTTTTTGTAGAAAAGGTTCAGAGTAATTTACAGTGGACAATGGACATTCAATAGGTTTAATATGGTTTAATCTTATTGCATCATAACTGAGTCAAAGACATTTAAATGTCCGCATCAAAATAATTTTAGAAAAGGGATTTTATATACATGGAAAACACACTAAATGCAAGTAAAGTGTCTACTTAAGTTTTGGGAGAATAAAATGTCAAAATGTGGGTGAAATATTGTTCCACTGTCATTCAGTGTAACACTTATATTTATGTAAAAATGTAAACAACATTATTCTGACCTGAACGCATTAACTAACGCATTTAGCATATACTAAATGTTATTGCGTTTTAAATGAGTAAAAATGTCTTGCTGACAAATGGCCAAAATGGGATAGTGCCGAAGTTTAAAAATGTAAAATTACAAGTAGTATTTGGAGTAAAACTAGTCTTTTATGTCAAAAACGGATTCCTGTGGTAAATATGCCTGACAAGATTGTTATACTGAATGACATTTTAGTGGCTGTTTTCTGTAAATCATGGTAAAAATGTATATTTATAAGGACACTTTCTAATGTATTGAAAAACAACAACAATTCAAAGCTGTATTACACGTATTGTTTTGATGCTTGAAAATGTTTGATTCCTTTTTCGTCTTTGACCCAACTACAAATCAAACAGAAAATTATTTTTGAAAATAACTGTGGAATTTGCAAATAAAATAATAGTGATATAAAGCAGTCTATTATAGCTAGCATGTCTGGAGCACTTCGTGAACATAAATGACAATGAATTTCAAATAAATAAATACAATTTAATAAATGACAGTGGAAACTAAAATAAGATATATCATTTACTTGTAAGTAATGTATACTCACATGTAAGAGCATAAAAAGAAAAACTGATTAATCGATATTTAATATCATTAATTGATATTAATTTTGTCACCTATCAATATATACAGTATATATATATAATAAGTTATTGCTTTAAAGCATAGAATATTTGAATCAATGTTACTGAATACTAACACATTACACTGTATAACCACTCTGTAACGTGGGTTTTGTTTGGGTTTCATGTTCATTGCTCTCATCTCTTTTATTGTGGAGTTCATGTTCCCTGTCTAGTCATGTGATTCCCTTGCCCTCATGTTATCATACTAATAGGTGCGTTCGACTTGAAGCACCGCTACAGACGGCAGTCAACGAGAGTAGCCGCTTGCAGTCGGGGGCGGAGTTAAAAACGGAGCCGTCAAGCCGGACACTTTCTGCTCCCGTTAGTGACGCTCACGCGGTGTTTGCATACTCTATCACAGATGAAGTGAATTAAATGCAATATTTGTCAAATACACAGACGTTTCAGAAATGTTTTCATGAGCAACAGAAACACTTTTTATATACTGCTTAAAACAGCACCATCTGTTCAAGAATAAAGTTCAACGTAAATATATACTATTTAAATACTAATAAAGTGGGGGTATATATGCTTTCATGATAAACGTGACTCAATATAACATTGCGACTACAGTAAAAAAGCTTTTACTGTTCTAAAAACACAGATTTATGAGCAGTATTGGATTTGAAGATGTTAGAAACACACGTGATTGTTGTCATGTGGTGAATCTGGCCAATCGTGAAACAGCTGTGTGGTCATCAGCGCTCCTGCAGTGCTCTGAAAAAGCTGTGCCAGCCGCTGCTCTCGAAACGCTCTCGCGGTACTTTGATGCCACACGTGACAGTGACGTAGCGTCGGCGCCGGTTCAAGTCGGACAAAATTTCTAACCGGCATGCACTGCTTCAAGTCAGCCGCCGATCGGTTTGTGCGGCGCTGCATGAAGTCGAACGCACCTATTGTTTCTTTGGTTCATGTGTTGTCTTAGTCATGTGTCCTGTCTCTCATTGGTTGGTTCTTGTCATGTGACCTCTATAGTTTGATATAAATAGCCCTCATGTTGCCATTGTCTCCTGTCGAGTATTGATGTTGTAACCTGCTGTCGGTGAGTCAAGTCTGTTCATGCCAAGTCAAGTCTTTCTTAACTTGTTTGGATTTTGGAATAAAGCTGCACTTGGGTTCATCTTTAACTCGCCTTCAGTGGACCAATTGTTACAGAATACTCGACCGAAAAATGAACCCAGCAGATCGTCTCGATCGACTTCGCCAAAGAAACCGGCCCATTGAGGATTATTTGGTGGACTTTTGTAAGTTGTGTCATTTGGTGGACTTTCATGATACCTTCCTGAAAGACATTTTTTTGTTTTGGTTTGGATAAAGATGCATCACATTTAATGCCACGCAATACCCCTCAATGGACTCTTGAAAGATTGTCTTTGCTTTGTTGCTGGCTGGTTCCCCATTTACTGTGGGGGTCACTGATGAGGAACCCTGCTGTCCTCCAGTATCCTCCACACCAGAGTATTTACACGTCATGTCTGGAATTATGTAACGTGGGATTTAGGTTTTGTTCATGTTCATTGCTCTCATGTCTTTTATTTTGGAGTTTAGTCATGGTCCCTGTCTAGCCATGTGATTCCCTTGCCCTCATGTTGTCCTGCTATTGGTTCTTTGGTTCATGTGTCATGTTCTCATTGGTTGTCTTAGTCATGTGTTCTGTATTGTTTGAATATAAATGGGCCTCATGTTGCCATTAGGTGCCATTTGACTTCATGCAGCGCCGACCGATCGGCGGCTGACTTGAAACAGTGCATGCCTGTTAGAAATTGTCTGACTTGAACCGGCGCTGATGCCACATCCCTGTGCAGGTGTGGCATCAAAGTACCCCGATAGCATTTCGAGAGCAGCCGGCTGACTCGGCTGGTGCTGCTTTTTCAGAGCGCTGATGACGACAGCTGTTTCACGATTGGCCAAATTCACCACATGACAACAATGACGTGTTTCTAGCATCTTCAATTCCAATACTGCTCACAAATGTGTTTTTTAGAACAGTAAAAGCTTTTTTTACTGTATACCCCTACTTTATTGGTATTTAAATAGTATATGTTTATTCTTGAACAGATGGTGCTGTATCAAGCAGTGTATATAAAAAGTGTTTCTGTTGCTCATGAAAACGTTTCTGAAACTTGACGTCTCCGCTTTCAATTCCACACCCGACTGCAAGCGGCTACTCTCGTCGATCGGTCTGCGCAGCGCTGCATTAAGTCGAACACGCCTACTGTCTCCTGTTGAGTATTGATGTTGTAACCTGCTGTCGGTGAGTTAATTCTGTTCATGCCAAGTCTTTCTTCGTTTGTTTGGATTACTTTGGAATAAAGCTGCACTTGGGTTCATCTTAAACTCGCCTTCAGTGGACTAATTGTTACACACTCTTACCACTTAATATCCCAGCAAGCAATTTTGCGTTTAAAAGACGTCTATTAGCCGTCTAAACACAGCCCAGACGTCTAGGCTAAAACAAGGCTAAATTTGGGCTGTCAGTGAAAATTTAATAGACGTCTAATCATAGCCCAAGAATGGACTAGTCATCAATTAGACCTATTAAACGACTACATATATACGTCTAATAGACGGTGAATATGGGTCTAGGCTAAAACAAGGCTGAATTTGGGCTGTCAGTGAAAATTTAAAAGGTGTCTAACCATAGCCCAAGAATGGACTAGTCATCAAATAGACAGCTAGTGAATGCCTGCATATATACGTCTAATAGACAACAAAATGGCAATCCATCCAAACAAATTCAATATGGGGGCCAGCTGGTCAGCACAGGATTTCAGACAGACTGGTGTAACACAGTCTGGGCCTGGTGCTTTTCTCCTTTTCTGCTTCCGGAAGACCTGGCGCACCTCTTCTTCGCTGATCTGAATTGCAGGTGTGGGGGAGAGGGGGGTTGCTGGAGGTGTGAATGGAGACTCAACGCGCTGTCCGGAATGGCGTCTTTCAGCCGGGTTTCCGTGAAACGCAGAGCAGCAGAGTTTGAAAAATCCTTATTTGTCCGGGAAAGCAGAAGAAGTTCATCCGTTTTGTTGGGTAGAGAGCGGAGGTTCGCCAGATGGATGCTAGGCAACGGCGTCCTGAATCCGCGCTGTCTGAGCTTGACGAGCGCGCCGGCTCGCTTCCCCCGTCTGCGCGTCCTGAAGCGTTTGATCAGCGCAGCAGCTCCCCCGACAACAATGTCCAGCAAAACATCTGAATAGTCGAAAACCGGTGAAATATCGGGTGGTGTGTACTTCCGAATGTCCAGCAATTCATCTCTGGTGAAACTGATTGCAGGGATATAACTAAAGACAGGACAAACTAACAAAAACATAAAAACAACTGCAGAGCACGCCACGGAGGCAGCCATCACCGTCGGCGCCATTGTGCTAAACAAAAACCTTAAACTTAAGACAATACAAAAGAATTAATGACAAAATAAAATTTATAAACAGAATACACTTAAATATAAATATTATGATAACTT